CAAAGACCTTGGATTTCATGTAGGTCATGAAATCCAAAGACCTACAACCAAGATTGCTCTATCCAGCAAAACTTTCATTTAGAATGGAAGGACAGATAAAGTGCTTCTCAGATAAGATCAAATTCAAGAAGTTCATCATCACCAAGCCCTTATTATATGAAATGTTAAAGGGACTTATCTAAGAAAAAGAAGATAAAAAATATGAACAGTGAAAGGACAGCAAACTCACAGTTATTAACAACCACACCTAAAACAAAAGCAAACTAAGAGGACAGCTAGATCAGGAGCAGAACCACAGAAATGAAGATCACATGGAGGGTTAGCAACAGGAGAGTGGGAGGAGGAGAAGGGGGAGAAGGTACAGAGAATAAGTAGCATAGACAGTAGGTAGAAAATAGACAGGGGGAGGACAAGAATAGTATTAAAAATATAGAATCTAAAGAACTTGTGACACATGGACATAAATGAAAGGGGGGATGGTGGGGATGGCGGTGTGCAGGGTGGAGGGGAATGAGGGGGGAATAAAACAACTGTAATGGCATAATCAATAAAATATAATTAAAAAATAAAATTTAAAAAAAGGGTCCACAGGACTTCCGCCAAGATGGAGGTTTAGGTGGATGTGCCGTGCCTCCTCACACAACCAAGTTTAGGGACAACTAAATATTAGCATCAGAAAACACAACCAGAACACGGAAAACTGAACTTTTCGGAAGTCCGTTAACAACAAATTCTTCAGCCCGACCGGTAAGGGGCGAAACCGGCGTCGGGTGAGGAGTTACAAAGGAGGGCTCGGTCGGACCCGGGCGCGGAATCCAGACGCGCGAATCCAGTCACACGGGTTCCAAACCCAGGATTGGACCTAGTGAGCGACCGAGCAACCCACCGGGTGAACGACTGCAGAGGAGACAGTGGGGAGGCGGTGCAGCGTGTTGACTGTGGTTGCCTAATTGCGCGCGAGTGAGGGAGTGAGCGGTTGGACCGGCGGCGGCGGCGATAGACGGCGGCCGTGGTGACGATAGACAGCGGCGCTGCGGCAATAGAGGGCGCCGCCATTTTCCCCGCTCTGACCACGCCCCCACATACAGCGTCACAACCCAGCGACCTGGGACTCCAAGGCGCCGCTTCTCCCACTTAAAGGGCCAGAACAGACCAAAAATGTCGCAGGGAGACCTCAAAGCCCCAGAGATAAATCTAAGTGACGAAGAAATAGCAAAACTCTCAGATGCACAGTTTAAAACACTGGTCATCAGCTTCCTCACAGATCTGGTGGATTATAGCCACAAATTAGAGAAACATATGAAGGCTAAATTAAGGGAAATGAATGGAATTCCACAGGAAACCCATAGAGATGAAAAGGAAACTGGGACTCAAATCAATGGAGTGGACCAGAAGAAACCAAATAATGGCCAAACAGAAAAGAGTCAAGGAGCAAGAATTCAAAGAAATGAGGAGAGTCTTATGAACCTCCAGGACATCTTTAAACGCTCCAATATCCGAATTATAGGGGTACCAGAAGGGGGGAAAGACACAACCACCAGTGGAAAAACTATTTGAACAAATAATAAAAGAAAATTTCCCCAATCTGGCAAAGGAAATAGACTTCCAAGAAATCCAAGAAGCCCAGAGAGTACCAAAAAAGTTGGACTCAAGAAGAAACACACCAAGGCATATCATAATTACATTAGCCAAAATTAAAATGAAGGAGAGAATCCTGGAAGCAGCAAGAGCTAAGGGGACAATCACCTACAAAGGAGTCCCCATCAGGCTGTCAGCAGATTTCTCAAAAGAGACCTTACAGGCAAGAAGGGGCTGGAAAGAAATATTCCAAGTCATGAAATCTAAAGACCTACAACCAAGATTGCTCTACCCAGCAAAACTTTCATTTAGAACGGAAGGACAGATAAGGTGCTTCTCAGATAAGATCAAATTCAAGGAGTTCATCATCACCAAGCCCTTATTATATGAAATGTTAAAGGGACTTATCGAAGAAAAAGAAGTTAAAGAAACATGAACAGTGAAAGGACAACAAACTCACAGTTATTAACAACCACACCTAAAACGAAAGCAAACTAAAAGGACAGCTAGATCAGGAGTGGAAACATAGAAATGAAGATCTCAAGGAGGGTTAGCAACAGGGGAGTGGGAGGAGGAGATGGGGGGAGAAGGTACAGAAAACAAGTAGCATAGACAGTAGATAGAAAATAGATGGGGGGGGCAAGAATAGTATGGGAAATATAGAACCTAAAGGACTTGAGACACATGGACATAAACTAAAGGGGGGTAATGGTGGGGTTGGGGGGGCAGGGTGGAGGGGAATGAAGGGGGGAATAGAACAACTGTAACAGCATAATCAATTTAAAAAAATAAATAAATTTAAAAAAAAACAAAAAAAACAAAAAAAAATAAAAATAAAAACATTTCCTTAAAAAAAAAAAAAGGGTCCACAGAATTTCTCTGCATTATTTCTTACAACTGCACGTGAATTTATTATGTCTCAAAATAAAAAGCTTATTTAAAAGAAAATTTAAAAAATGTTTAAAGTTTGGATAGCCAGCCAATATAAAAATGCAAATAAACAAAATAAAAAAATAAATTATTCAGCAGAGCACAGAGGATTTTTTAGAGCAATGGAACTGCTCTGTATATTATAATGGTGGATACATGCCATAAATTTGTCCAAATTCCCGTGAGGGCACTATGTTAAGTGAAATAAATCAGATACAGAAAGACAAATACTTTATGATCTTGCTCATGCTTGCAATCTAAAAAGGCCAAACTCATAGAAACAAAGAGTGGAACGTGGCTGCCTGGGGCAGAGGGTGGAGGAAACCAGGGGAAGGTCAAAGGGTACAAACTCCCAGTTACAAGATGAAAAAGTTTGGGGGATCTGATGTACAGCACGCTGACTATAATTAACAATACTGTATCACATATCTGAAAGTTGTTAAGACAAAAGATCATAAATGTTATCATTATAAATGCAAAAAAATGGTAGTTATGAGAGGTGATGGAGGTGTGAACTAACCTTATTGTGGTAATCATTTCGCAATATGTGCATATAGCAAATCACCGCATTTTTATACTTTATTTTTTTAAAAGATTTTATTTCTTTATCTTTAGAGGGGAAGGAAAGGAGAGAGGGAGAGAAACATCAATGTATGGTTGCCTTTCATGTGTCCCCTGCTGGGAACTGGCCTGCAGGGAACCAGCCTGCAACCCCAGCATGTGCCCTGACTGAAAATCGAACCGCGATTGTCTGGTTCACAGGCCCACACTCAATCCACTGAGCTACACCAGCCAGGCTCATTTTTATATTTTAAATTTATGTTATACCTCAGTAAAGTCTGAATAAGCCTGGAGAAAATTAAAAATAGAAATAAATTAATGTTTTCAAATCAATTAAGTGTGCAACAAAAAAGAGTGAACCCTCACGTCAGCCATGGACTCCGGCTGATGATGACGTGTCGCAGTGGGCGCATCCCTTGGGAGGGGAGTATGCTCTGGCGGGGGATGGTGAGAACGGGGGAGGCCATGTCTGGCGGGGGCCAGGAAATGTATGGGGAGTCTATCCTTGCTCAATTTTACTATGAACTTAAATTCTGCTCTAAAAAATAAAGTCTATCAAAAATAAATAAAATATTAGCCCAGGCTGGTGTAACTTAATGGATTGAGCAGGGCCCCATGAAGCAAAGAGTTGCTGGTTCGATTTCCAGTCAGGGCACATGCCTGGGTTGCAGGCTAGGTCCCCAGTAAGGGACACATGAGAGGCAACCACACATTGATGTTTCTCTCCCACTCTTTCTCTTTCCCTTCCCCTCTCTCTAAAAAATAAAATAAATAAAATATTTTAAATAAATAAAATATTAAATAAAAATGGTTGGTACACACAGGAAAATATATTCTGTTTTTTCAAATAGTAAGCACAATGCAAAAATAAAAACAACAGACATGATTTTCTCCTTATCTGATTGGTAAAAATAAATAAGCCGACAAAACCCCACACTGGCAAGGGGATGGGAGATGGGCAGCAATATCATGCACTGTAAATTCACGTGAGCTTTCTAGAAGGAAGCTGGGCAATGTGTACAAAATTTGAATAAGCCCACCCAATGTTTCAGTAATTCTGCTTTTAGCCCTTTTCCCTGGGGAAATGCACAAAGATGTATATATACACAAGACAATTCATCACGGAATTGTTTTAAAGAGTGAAACATCAGAAACAATTGAAAGGTATATAATTAGTTAAAGTATAGTATACACATACAATGTAATGTCATGCAGTACTTAAAAATGATAAAATATATCTACAATATTGACATGAAAAAATATTCTGTAGACACTGTGAAAATGTTTTTAAAAGTGCCTCCCCTCGGGAATTTTGGTTGACTTGGTTCTCAGTCCCCCTGGAGCTACTGTTGTTGCCCCTTCCCTAGGGCAGATGCCTCCCAGCCACCAGGTTGGGCAAGAGATCTGTGCAGGGAAGACAGGGATGACCCTCTCCTTAGAACGACCGCACAGTCCGACTTCCAGAAGGACCCTGAGTATGAACATTTTGGCCTGCTGTCCTCGTACAGTTCAGACACGCCTAATGTGAATGTCGATTTTACAGCCATGGAAAACAAGGGTCACCAAGTTGAAAAATTTGCCCAAGGTTTGTACAGGAGGTTCCTCTCCTGGGTCTGCCGAAGGGAAGGAGGCCTGCTGTGTGCCCTCCCCAAATGTGTTGGCAGTTGCCAGTTGTCATGAGCAGAAGGACTAAAGGGGTGTGGAAATGTGAACTGAAGAGGAGTCAGGGTGGAAGAGGGGGCGAGGCCAGGTTTCAGGGAGAGAATGTCATAGAGAAGGTAGGGCAGGATGTCACCCAAGACCCTCAGCTCCTTCTGCCATAAAGTCTTGCCTCCGCAGACACAGCTCTCCAATAATGCCTGTCGAAAGTGGGCCTTTGGCAAATGATGAATGAATGAACAAAGCTATGAATGAATAAAAAGAAACACAGAGTTTATTATTGAATTGGAAATACAAAAAAACACCCCTAAACCCTTCTCAGACCTTTGTGGTCCCAGGTCTCACTAAGCCTCCCCACAGTCACCAAATATGTGAGGTCCTTCGAGTGTCCTCAAGTCTGGACAGACATGGAGTGGGAGGGGGCCCTGTGCCCAGTTTATGGGGGCAGAGGCCCAAGGGCCAGCACCACTCTGAGTCTGCGCTCAGCTTCCTGCAGGCCCACAGATCTCAGTCTCTGGAGTTCTCTGGAGGGGTCATGCATGCTGAGTCCCCTTGCCTCGGAACTAGGTCTTAAAGTGCAGAGAGATGAGTCCTGGTCCCAGGCTTTGCAGGCAGAAAAGAACTTGGTGGTACTATCAGGGCAGTGGGAGTGCACAGACCTCTAAGTGTAGCAGGACCAAGATCGAGGTGTCACCAGCTCCCAGAAGGTTGTCTGTGCAGAGAAAGGTGAGTTATGAATGAGGTCCCTCCCAGTGCCCACTCTGTGCACTCAAGACATGGGAGCCCATCACCCCCAAACTAGGCCCGTCCCCTGATCTTAGCTGTTGAACTGGGCAAAAATAGGGGGCTAGCTGTTGGGAAGGGGAGGCATATACCCCTGAACAAGGAGTTGATGTGGGTGTCATGGTTCCTCACCTGGGACAGGGGGCAGTGCTGCCGTGCATACCACTCCTGGCAGTACAGGCTGACCTGGATGCCCTGGCCCAGAAACAGCATGGTCCACATCAGCACATTCCACGCTGGCCCAGTGTGCTGGTCATGCATCATGAAGTTCATTGGTCCTGAGGCAGGAGAAAAGATGGTCGCCCCAACTCCAGATACCTGTGCCTTGTGTCCCTGGCTGCTCTCCATCCCAGGGCACTGGGAAGAGATGGACCGGGAAGGTCCCATTGGAAAAGATCTGGAACCCAGCTCCAGAAACCCATAGGGGTCTGAAATGACTCCCAGTAAACCAGGATTCCTCAGTTTACCCTTCAATAACCTGGATCTCATACTGAGCCTCCCGACCTCCACCAGTTTTCGCCCCTTTGTCTCCCTCCATGTGCGTCCTGCTCAGATGCTCCTCTGGAGCCAGATATCTTCTCCCACATCCCCCAGGACACCCCCTTGCTGCCATTTGATGCTGCCTCCCTCCTTGCTCCCAAGTCCCTCTGTCTTGGGTGTATGGCTTCCTCCATAGTTTGGATTCTCTAGGAGCAGGAACACAGGCCTCCTCCTCTGGATGACTCCCCCCCCTCTCCAGTGGCACACAGAAGCCAAGCTCACCTCCAAAGGCAAGGAAGAGTATCAGCATGACAGGGTAGAAGAAGCCCAGGACAAAGCAGAAGATGTATTCGTGGACAACTGCAGAGACCACGAACACGCCCAGCATTGCTGCCCCGCGGGCCTGGCCTCCGAGGAGCTGGCAGGGGCAGGGGGAGGAATTGACTCTCCTTAGGTCCCTTCTATGAAAAGCCCCCTCCTTAAGGAAGCCAGGAAGGTATGTGGTGCAATGAAGAGAATATGGGATTTGGGGTCAGAAGGGCTGACATGTCTTACTTAAGAGCATTTCATTAGCCCATTGGGCCTTATATGCAATTTTAAAAAGAGGATATAATAATACTTACTTTACAGAGTTATTGTGCAGATTAAATGTATGTAACAATTCTTGATAACTGAAAATTGATATATGTGTGTCCCTTAGGAGGGCAGAAAGCCCTATGAAGAGGGTGGAGTTAGGGATTAGGAAGTTAGATCATAAGAAGAATTTTCTGCCCATTGGATTGGATACAATGGGGCAGGTGGAAGGTAAGGGGCCCTTAGGTTGAATGCTGCAGAGGGAGGGAAGGAGGGGGTGTCCCAGAGGGGCTCCATTAACTGTGGGAGCTGAGGAAGGTCCACAGAGCCCATACCCACAGCCCATCTTGATATATATAGCTGTACAGCCAGTCATGGACCACCACGTTCCAAGTGCGGTAGTAGTTGGAGAAGGATGTGGAGTTCCACCAGTCCTGGGGAAGGGGAGGGGTCAGAGTGAAGGAAGGAGGTGGGAATCAGGGCCCTGTCTCTTCCCAGGCCCAGCTTCTCAGCTTCCCACCCTTGCTTCCTGCCCTAATCCCAATGTTCTCCCACAAGGGCTGACTCCAGGCAAAGTAGAGGCGGTAAGTACTGTCTCAGCTCTCTCAGTTCCCTCTTCTGGACCTGGGGTCCCTGCCTTTCCTGCTACTTCCCCTCTTTCTGAAACTCCCTCTCCATCTGCACAAAAGCAGTTACCTCTGACTAGTCAGGAGGTGGAGGGATGGCATTCTAACCACACCCAGAAGGGCACATTTCCGTGCACCTGAGGCAACACCCAACATCCTCCCCAGATCCCTGTCTATCCCCCCGACTCGAGCTCCCAACTAGCCCAGGTCCAGGCCTCACCCGGTAGAACATCCTATCTCCAAATCGTAGCATCTCTGCAAAGGCGTTGAGCCAGCAGTGGAGGAAGGCGAAGAAGATGAGCAGCAGCATAAAGATGCCTGGTGAGTGAGGACAAGGGGCTGCAGGTCAGGCTGGCCCACCTGGAACCCACAGGAAGGTCTGAGGAACCCTTGCCCAGCATCTAGGGCCTCAGTCCTACCCATCATTTATCAGCAATTTACTAATTCATGCATTTATCAATTCACCCATTTGCTCATGAACACCATGCCAGATATTGGGGCTACGAGATGATTCTCAAAGCCCTTGGCCATTGAGATTTCACAGAATAGTTGGAGAGAGAGAGAGAGAGAGAGACACGTATAACCATACATCAAGGTTAAATGTGTTGGGAATTAAGCATGGTGGCCAGATGTGCTTGGGAATGCAGAGCACAGGGCAGAGCATGGTAATTGATGCCTAAGACAGGCAAGGCTTCCGAAAGGAGGACCGCTCACGTGGGCCTCCAAGAAAGAACTGGATTTTACAACTAGACAGTAGTGAAAGTACATTCCAAGCTGAGAGACTAGTGTAAGCAAATGCCTGGAGGCGTGGAAGTGCAGGCCACTCAGTGAATGGCTGGACTTATGGTGGGATGTGACGCACTCCAGGAAAGGCCTGGAATGCCAGGCCACCGTCCAATCTTATCTGGAGATCCCAGCAATGTGGAGTCACTGGAGCTTTTGAAACAGGGTCAGGAATGATTAATCTGTAGGAGGGAAGTTCATTTGGACAGCAGTGTTCTCAGAAGCAGATGGGAGAGGAAAGATTCAGGGGGAGGGATGAAGGTTGGGAGGCTAATGTAGAAAGGGGGAGCAGATGGCAAATTGAACTGATACCCTAACAATGAGCAGCGATAGGAAGGGTTGGCAGCGAAGAGAGATTCAGAGGGAGGCGGTGCTGAAACTGACTGAAGGTAAAGAGCAAGGGGAGTGAGAAATTCCCAGCTAACCTTCCCACAGCATAGCCTTCATCAGTCTTGCTTTAGTGGGCATACCTGGCAATGTGGCGTGCATGACGGAGAGCACCAGGGCACGGATGCTGAAGGGCTCCCGGCTCATGTTGGCAAAGACAGGAACACAGAGGCGGCCCAGGATGAAACAGGCATAGAGGATGCAGCCCAGTGCCTGGAGAGGGAGTGGCAGACACCTAACTTTGAGAGGGGTACTGGCAGCTGCCCCCTAACCGTAGAACTGGACTCTGGCCCAGCATCTCCCTCCTCTGCCCTCTGATCTGTCTTCTCCCCAGGCTTCCTCCACCCCCCCCCAGAAATGCCCCCTCAGCCACCATGAGTCACAGGTGGTCCACCCTTCTACCCCATCTTCTGACCTGAGCAAAGTTCTTGGCCACGTAATTCCACCTGATGTTGGGTGTCCTGCAGCAGCAACAAGGATTATATGTTTCTTGTTCCCTTCTCAGGCCAGGACCCAGGTTCTGGAGCCCTCTCTCCACAGCCCCTCAGTTGCTCAGGCCTGGGAGGGTTTTCTGGGGAAATGGGAGTCTAGAACACTTTGCATCTTTCATATTAGAGATAGCAAATGGAATTTTAGCATGGGTGTCAACTAAGGTGACCAACCATCTGGAGTTTGCTCTGGATTGAGGGATTTCCCAAAACCTAGATTTTTTTCTTTCTTTTAAAAAATATTTGATTTATTTATTTTTAGAGAGAGAAGAGAAGGGAGGGAGAAAGAGAGAGAGAGAGAAACATTGACCAGTTGCCTCTCACACACACCCTCACTGGGACTGAACTCACATCTTAGGCCTGTGCCATGACCAGCCAAGAATCGAACCGGTGACCTTTTGTTTTGTGGAACAATGGCCAACTAACTGAGACATGCTGGCCAAGGTAGGACCTAGGATTTTCAGTGCTAAAACAGGGACAATCCTGAGCAAACCAGGACAGTTGATTATTGTTGTGTCACCATGGATGGTGCAAGAAGGTGTAGCCTACTTGCCATTTCTTTCTCATCTCTGTGATGAGATGCTTCCTGAGCAAGTGCCTGGGGTGAGGCTAGGGACCTCAAGGAGAGGAGAGGAAGAGGCCAAGGCCCCTGTTGGGCCTAGGCATCTGGGGAAAGGGTGCAGGGTCTTACCTGGGGTAAGTCTCCCTATAGATGAGTGTGGGGCAGAAGAGGAAATAGAGGTAGCTGGAGAAACTGGGGGCCTGGATCCCCTCACCTGGGGAGAAGTGAGAAGGGTCAGTCAGTGAATGGGGAAGGGAAAGAGGGCAGAGGTGAGGGGGGGCTGGGACCAGGGAGGTGAAGGGATGGGTGAGAGGTTGGATATTGGGTCTGGAGGGGTGGGGGAGGTAAAACTGGGCAGGAGCTGAACCTGCTGTCTAGCACCTCTCTTATTTCCATTCCAGGCACCCCATTTCCTGGTGCAGAATCTGCTATGGCTGAAGCTCTATTTGGCACCCAGAAGTTCCACTACCCATTCTCCCTTTCTCTTCAGGCTAGGCCTGGAAATGCGAAAGCACCGAAAATACTGGGCAACAAAGGTGCCATCTCTCAGAGAGGGACCTGAGGCCTAAAGCCAAGGCCCACAGAGGCCGGATGGGGGCCAGACTTGTGCCCAGTGGGCAGGGTGGGCTTAGGAGGCCAGAGCTTTTATGAAGATCCTGCCACTGCTGGCTTTATGCAACCAGCCAAGAGGCCTGAGTTCACAGCACCCCCGTGGAAGGCCTCACCTCCTCGGGCACAAAGGATACCAGGCACAGTCTCTCTCAGGAAGGAGTAGCTTTTCATCAGGAGTCTGACCTGAGATGGAGTAGAGGGAGGTTAAGTCGCTGTGTGGCTTTAAGCATATTGCAATGCATAATGTCTGGGTCCCCTCTGCTGAGAGTGGGGAGGGGAGAGAAAAGGAAGGGGAGGAGAGAGAGAGAGAATGAGGCAGGCAGTTCATAGAATATGCATGGTTAAAACACATACTTTATCTTTTTGTCAGATTTCCTTACTGCTGGGATGAATCGAGGGTAAGAGGTTACTGAAAAGGCCAGAGCGGAGCCTTCTTCGTTCGTCCAATCCCTTGTGACTCTGCCCAGCCAGGTTGTATTTGCCTAGCCTCATCCATTTGGTTTACATTTCTCTGGAGCCTGCTGGTTGCTCAAATTTCTGGCAATGAACTCCGCCTCTAGTAACTAGTTCCACCCTGCCAATTCTGTACAGGCCTCCACAGCCCTCTGGTGCTGGCCCCACCCATCACCTGCTCAAAGACGAGGATGCAGCTGGAGGCAGGAGGGAGCTGATACTTGGCAGCCACATGGACTGGGAGTATGCCAAGTACTGCAGCGTGAGCGGCCAGCAGCACGCAGCCGAGGCCTGCCCCCAGCGTCCAGGCCCCTGCGGCCTGGGACCTCGCCCACAGACGGAGGGACTGGTAGGGTGCCAGCAGAGTGGACAGGAACATGGGGACCCATGCCATCAGAGCCAAGGGCAGCTGTCCGAAGCTGAAGATCAATAGGTCAAACTCCAACAGCAGCCTGGGAGTGGGAAAGGAGAGACAAAGTAGACAAACGTGTAGCCCAACCTTTTCCCCTTCATCTGCAGCCACAGCTCTTGGAAGATAAACTGAGGTATCCCACGAAGGCTGTAAGCTCCTCATCTCTGAAAGTGTTCAAGAAGACATCTCTGTTGCCTAGACTTCTAGTGCAGGCTGTTGCCTGAAGAGACTCTATTGGGAAATGGGTTTGCTTCCAAACTGCTGTTAGAGCCCTCCGTGAATATTATGGTGTTGCAGAAGGGCTCAGTACTTCACATAACACAGGTATTAGGATAGAAGGTATGTAGTGTTTAACTTGGATTTTTGTTAGTTCTGTCTATGGCCATACAACCCTGAATGTACCCAATCTCGTTTGATCTTTGTTAGTTCTGTTCTTTTCCAGTGCCAGCAGGTTGTTGAGTGTTTTGTTTGCTTACATTAAGAGTACACAGTTTTGCTCCAGCAGGGTGGCTGAATTGGTTGGAGCAAAATCCTGTACACCAAAAAAAAATTTGTGGGTTCAATCCTTAGTCAGGGCACGTACAGGAAGAAATGGATTGAAGTTCCTCCCTCTCTCCCTTCCTCTCTCTCTAAAGTCAATAAATATATCCTCAGGTGAGGATTTTTTAATAAATATTTTTAAAGATTTTACATATTTATTTTTAGAGAGAAGGGAAGGAAGGGAGAAAGAGAAGGAGAGAAACATCAATGTATGAGAGACACATCGATTGGTCACCCCTCACATGCCCCCAACCTGGGACCCAGCCTGTAACCCTGGCATGTGCTCTGATTGGGAATTGAACCAGTGACCTTTTGGTTTGCAGGCCAGCACTCAATCCACTGAGCCACACCAGCTGGGATGGTGAAGGCTTTTTTTAAAAAGGTATACAGTTCTAATGGTGGACAATTGGGAACAACCCACATGTCCATTAGGAAAGGACTAATGAACAAAACCCGGAAACGCCCGATGCCGCGTCATTAAAAACAGTAGACTGACGTGGGAAGATCTCTACACTGGGTCGTTGGGGAGTAAAACCAGAACAATAGGTACAGTACGAGTCTTCTTTATGTAAACACCACAAAATACATGTCTTTGGTTCTTACATAGATATGGGTGGAATGCATGGAGACTGCTTTAGAGAGAAACTCTCAAAATGGCTGAAAATGTCACTTTTGGAGAGGGGTCTGGGATTGAGGGGGTGGTCAAGAAGGACTGTCCCTTGACATGTATTTGGACTTTTTGCTGAGATTTGATCTGTATACTATTCATGTAGTTAGCAACAATTTTACCAAAAGGAAGTGCTATTGCTGAACTTCTGGATCCCTGGTCCTCTTCCTTTAACTGCTTCCTAAGTTCGCTACTTAGCAGGGGTTGTCCTGCAAATACAGACCCCAGTGATGTAAACCCTTCTGAAGCTCCTCCCTCAGAGCGGGTGGTGGTCTCTGGGGGAAACGACCCAGCAAGGCACTTCTGTGTGTGTGTGTCTGTCTTCCTTACCAGACTGGGAGTGCCCCTCACAGATGGGGCCTGCCCCTCATCTCTCTGGTGCCCAGGGCTGGTCCTTGGAAGATGTTCAAAGGAGGTACTCGAATCAAACAGCGCTGACTTGGAAAAGAGCAAGGTGGGAAGTGTGTGTGCACACAGATGTAAATCTGCCTCAAGACATGGTTCCTACTGAGAACTATTTGAGTAGCTGTCCCAGAGGTGCTGGCCCTGGGGGGACAGACTCAGGACCATCCAAGGCTGTGGAAGGAAGAAGCTTATTTTAAGAGTATGTTTTAGGTGGGAATGTTGTTGGAAGCCACACTGATGCTTGTGCCATAATAATCAATGGCAGGTGGAGTCCTGGGGACCCCGGGGGTCTGATCTGATTTGTGTGCCTATCCTGGGCAGAAGAGGGGCCTACCTGCCCTCGTCAATGAAGTCGATGGCCAGGGTGCTGATAATGAAGACAAACAGGCCGGCAATGAACATGTGGTAGATGGTCCGGAAATGCTGCACCTTCATCAGCTCACTGGAGGGAGAGGGGCCTGAATATCAGTGTGGAAGGGTCCTCAAGGTCAAGTGGACTTGTGCTGGCCTGGTACACTTGTGGGGATGGAGCCTAGTGACTGGAACTTTTAAGGGCTGGGATGTGACTGGGACAAACCCTTTCTAGCCCAGACACTGCTTATTCTGGTGACCCTTCTTCTACAGTCACACCCTGAGTAGATGGGGAAACCGAATCTTAAAAACTCTTTCTAAGTCCTCTCCCAAACCACCTAGAGCCTGGGCATGAGCACTGAGGTATCCTGGACCTCCAACTGAAGCCCCTTCTTTCCCTCCCACCCTCTGACTTACTCAAGCAGGGACTCTCGGATGACAAAAACTTTCCGTTTCCTCAAGGGTGGCTCCTGGGTCCTGAATTGAGACAGTTGTTCTGGATCAGGATCCAAAAGGAAGAAGGCAGTGGGCAGAAGACAGAGCCTTTCAGAAGATAAATACTTAGGAGCCAAGGCCAATAGTAGCAGAAGGTCAGGGCCAGGGCAGAGCAAGGCTAGAGGTGGACGTCAGTGCCAGAAAGGCAGAGGCAATAAAAGGCACATGTGATGGCGCTTATGGGTCATAATCTTACGATGGAGGAGTCTGCTCCAGGCATTCCTCAGCCCCTGGCTCCTCAGACTCTTACTTGCTCAAGGAATCTGGGGGAATGGTAGGCAGACGTTTGCCTTGTGGTGTGTAGGATTGTACGGCCTCAGATATGGCCTGATCCAGCAGCTCCAGCAGCTGTCTCTGTGCTTGCTCCAGCAGCTGCATCTTCACAACCTGCAGGACAAGCAGGGCCCACTCTCCCTCCATCCGGTCGGCCATCCTCTCATTCACCCAACATTTACTGAGCTTCTCTCCATGAGCACTAAGTGCTAGAGATAGAAAACATGGTTCCTGCCCACAGGTTCCCCAATCATTTATCTCCCTCTGGCTTCCCAGGGCAGCAGTGATGATCAAGGAGTAACAGCAGGAGCCAAGTTTCCAGTCCCACCCATCTTGTCGTGTCTGACTTGACTGTCTTCTCCTTGACCCCAGCCTTCCCTCTCCTGACCTCTCCTGACCTTCTGTGAGTGGGGTAAGAGCCCCACTCACAGAAGTCTGTTCACTGGCTGCCTTTTGGCCTGTGCCCTCATGATGACCTGTCTTTCAAATCTCTTCATCTTAACCCTTAGCTGTAACCTGAACTGAGGGATTTGAACCCAAGAACAAATTGTCGTTATCACCAAACCTGTCCTTACCCCTCCCTCCCTCCACTCCAGGACCAGTCCATCTTGACCTCTGACACTTGAGGTCCCTCACCTCCATATGTTTGGTCCATTGCACCAAGTCAGGGCCTCCATGCACCTCTGAGTTTCCTAGAAGGAGGGGTCAAAGGACACACCCACAGGGAGGAGTTAGGGTTCTGCTGCCCTGTGCAAGCCCAGAGGCATCCTCTGCCAGGAAATGCTTTCTGTGTGCTCAGCAGACTCCCAGCCCCCCAGTCAGAAGATACCTAGTGTCATGGGTGGGGCAGTCAGAAGGGGAAATTGTTTTATCTGGGGGTGAGGAGGCCATTGCTAAGCAGGGAACCTGATGACATTGCTGGAAGCAGGGTGCTCAGAGAACAGGAAGCCTCTCCATTCGCCCTCCAAGGTTAGAGTCAGAAAGACAAGGCAAGGCCACAGCTTTGAATGCCCCTTTTCTCCTCCGTCTCCCAGCTGGGCAGTTAGGAGCAGAGGCCAGAGTCTGCCTTCTCTAGCCTCCCAGGACAGCAGGAAGGGTTTCAGGTGGACGGCAGGAGACCTCTCTCAACAAGTTATACTCATCTGAGCTTTCTGCACTCCCAGAGGGTGGCTCACCTTCTCCAGAGGGTGGGTGCTCCTGTCTTCTTCGAGACCCGGCTCTCTTCCGCACTTGGGCTGCCCTTGACTCCATGCTGAGTCTTGACTGGGCAGCAGGTGGTCTCTGCGGTGCTCCCACCTTTCCTTCACCACCTGCCAACCCTCTGAGCTCCCATGGCCCAGCTCAACTGACAGCTCCAAAGTCTAAAGTTCTTTCAGGAGGAAGGGGCCTCCAGGAACACAGCAGGTTATCTGGCCTGGAGGCCAGTGCTTCCCAGCTACAGGCTCTGTGGGCTGTTGCAGGGATGGACTGGACACAGACCCCCAAGGGTCCAACTACCACCCAGATGCCCAGCTCTGAGCAAGTGTGCTCTCCCTTTCCTGGGAACAGTGACCATACGTGTGGTTGGAAGGGGGACTTTGCCTCCCTGAGGCTTATCACATTGCCTGGCTCACCTTCCCAGCAGGCCGAGGTCTGGGTGGAGTCAGAAAGCTCTTCACACATCAATACACTTAGCTCCCTTAAGCCATGAGATAATGTGTGTGTCAACCTGAAAGCACTATATGCACGTGATAAATATTCGGATGGGGTTGGCACCTGTGACAATTGTGATGCTGTGGTCCCTCCAGGAAGAGCTGTCGGCCGGGGTCCCTGAACGTCAGCTCTTCCCTGCACCTGCCTGGGTTAGCATGTAGGCAAAACAAACACACTCAGCACCAGAGGAACGCCAGATGTTGTCATATACGGAAGAACTAGATTTAAACCCTCCCTTTATCATTTCCTGGCTGTGTAATTTCAGGCAAGTGACACAAATATTTTAAGCCACAGTTTCCTCCTTTGAAAAACAAAGGCAAAAATCCCTCCCTCACAAGGTTACTATAAGCACAGAATGAGGTAGTCCAGGTAAAAGCATGTGGTCCAGGGCTCACCCATGAGGGGAACTCAATGAATAATACTGCCCTTCCCTTTTTAGTAGTATGGAACTGGTAACAGAAGGGTAAGGACTCTGAGAGTTCCTCTTTGTTAAGTTCCTGCTGGAGATTAACTATTAATTCTTCCTCTTCCCTCCGTCCAAAGTTCAGTGTTAGAAACAAGATCACAACCTCAGACCAAAGTCATGGGCTCAGTTTCTCCCCACCTCTATCTCCATTCCCCACCCCCACCCCCCAACTACCTGGTGGGTAGTTGGGTGAGGGTTCAGGCCTTGAAGCCTCTGCCAATGGCAGTCTCCTTTGTTCCAAGGGCAGAGTGAAGGACCAAAGGTAGCCAATAGGAAAAGGGAACTGCTATGGGGTGGGAGTAGGCTTTAAAGAGGGTAGAGACAAGGGCCAGGGGCCCCAGAAATGGGAGAGGTAGACAGAGAGACAGACACCAGAGACGCCCAACACAGCTTTATTAATACCCCAAGTCAACATAACAATCTTTCCATGTATGAGGTCCCAGGGGTGAAGGGGACAATGAGGCAGAGCCCGAAGGTGGCATGTGTGACTCAGGGCCCCTGAGTAACTCATTACTCAACAAATGACCCAAGATGACAGCCTCGTGCTCCTGCCAGTGGCCCTGCAGGCCCCCACCCAGCCTTAGCCACTGCTCCCAGTGGAGCAAGAGGAGCCTCCATCGTCCGAGGATGCTGGCAGGAGTTGGCCCATCCGATCCACACACCAGCAGGGGCCTCGGCGCTGCCCCTGGGAGGAGCGGCACTGGGGAGAGAGGCATGCAGATTAGAAGTGAGGCCACAGCTCCAACAGGAGAGATGGGAGGGTCTTGTGGGTTAGGGATGGGCTGTGGACTCCTGAATGTGAACATGCAGAAACCTCTAAGGGTTCTCAAGACCATGAGGCCTGCTGGGTTTCCTTCCCTTGCTTCTCCTCTTCTCCGCCCACAAAACTGTGCTGGTTCTTCTAGTCAGAACAGTAATTCTCAAAGAGTGGTTCCCAAACCAACAGCATCAGCATCGCTTGGCATGGCGTTAATTAAGAAATGCAGATTTTTCAGGCTCTGCAGATGGAGCTCAACCACCTGTGTGTTTATAGCCCTCCAGGCGACTCTGACGCACCTCACGTGTACTTCTGAGTTAGGCATTCCCTAGGCAGTCTGACTCCTCTACTACCGTGTGCGGTTGGTTATTCTGTTGGTGTGGGCCTTGAAGTTGGGAGATACTTAAAAGCAGGGGAAGTGTCTTATATATGCAACTGTATAAGTCCTGCCCCATCTCTGGTAGGAGCCTTGTACTGACAGACCAAGGGGAGGAGAGGAGGGGCCTCACCTGCCGCTTCCGGTAGAAGCCCCGATGGTCACAGTTAGGGACGTAGAGGTTGTGAGACCCTCGGAAGACCTCATTCTGGAGTTGCTGCAGCACTGAGTCCAGATGTCTGCGGCAGGGGCCCTGGAGGAAGGGAGAGCAAGCAGCTTGGAGCCACTTCAGCTGAGCTCCACCCAGTCCCCCAGCCCCGCCAGCCGGGCAGGCGCCAGGGCTAATGTGGGAGACTTCTCTGAGCTCAGGACTCCCCACCCCTCCTTCTCCCTGCCAGCCCCAAACGCACCATCTCAGTGTCCTGGACACCCCCAGGACTGGGCCTGGCAGGAGTGGTAGAGGTCCCTGGGTTCCTTTGTTGGTCTCTGCGGTTCACATCCTGTTGTCGAGTGGTTCCCACTTGGAGTTTACTCTCCTTAGGATTCTCCCCTAGGGCCACAAGCAGATGGGGGAAAAAGAGGCCAGAAATCAGACAGATGTCAAAGACTAGAGCCAGGTGAAAAGGAGCTTTGCTCACCTCTACCCACTGAAGTGAGAGAAAGAGGGGCTTTTGGAGCAATAGACGTGAGGGGGTTAGAATCTGGCTCCATCCTTAGCTTCTCCTGGCCTCAGCTTCCTTCTCTGGCAAATGGTATTATTACCTTTCCTGACAATATCCCCAGACTAGTTGTAAGGCATACAAAGAAGAAACACTTTGCAAAGCAAAAATCATGAACAACTGCAAATATAATAACAGCTCTTTATCTGCGTTTTTACTTTCTGCAGGTTCAGTTACCTGCAGTCAACCATAGTCTGAAAATATTAAATAGAAAATTCCAGAAATAAACAATTCATAAGTTTTAAATTGTGAGTAGTGTGATGAAATCTCTTGCCCTCTTGCTCCCTCCTGCCTGAGATGTGAATCACGCCTTTGTCCAGCATCTCCACACTGTATATGCTCCCCGTTTGGCAGTCACTTATTAGCCATCTCTGTTCTCAGATTAACAATCCAGGTATCATAGTGCTTGTGTTCAAGAAATCCTATTTTACTTATTTTTTTTAAAGATTTTTTATTTGTTTCTTTATAGAGAGAGGGGAAGGCAGGGAGAAAGAGAGGGAAAGAAACATCAGTGCATGGTTGTCCCTACCAGGGACCTGGCCCGCAACCCAGGCATGTGCCCTGACTGGGAATTGAACCAGCAACCCTTTGGTTTGCAGGCCAGCACTCAATCCACTGAGCCATACCAGCCACGGCCTATTTTACTTATTAATGGCTCCAAAGTGAAAGAGTAGTGGTGCTGGCAATTCAGAGATGCCAAAGAAGCCAAAAAGTGCTGCCTTTAAGTGAAAAGGTGAAAGTTCTCAACTTAATAAGAGAAGAATAAATATCATATGCTGAGGCCACTAAAATCTTCAGTAAAATGAATCTTCTTTACATGACATTGTGAAGAAGGAAAAAGAAATTCATGCTACTTTTGCTGTCACACCTCAAAGTACAAAATGATGGCCACATTAAGTGCTTAGGTAAGATGGAGAAGACAAGTGCTGGTGGGTATTGTCCTGCAAAGCTGAAGGTCACCTGTTTGATTCCCAGTCAGGACACATAGCTAGGTTTCAAATTTGGTCCCTGATTGGGGCGTGTGGGAGAGGCAACTAACTGATGTTTCTCTCTCACATTGATGTTTCTCTCCCTCTCTTTCTTTCTCCCTCCCTTCTCCTCTCTCTAAAAATAAATAAAGTTCTGACTGATGGTGATGTGTTGCAATAAAAAAAACATTGAGCCTATACAAAAACTTCAGCAAGGGATCCCTGAAATGAGTGACACCAAGACACTTACTGCAAGTAAGGTACAGTTACACAGATTCAGGAAAAGGTTTGGACTGAAAAATATAAAAATTATTGGAGAGGCTGCGTTTGCCGATGTAGAAGCTGTTGCCACATTTCTGGAAGAGTTGAAGTTGATTAGGGTTTGGTACTATCCTCAGTTTCAGTCACCCACTGGGGGGTCTTAGAACATATTCTCAGGGGTTAAGGGGGGGGGCTACTGTACATGGAGAGGCTTTGGGCTTGGAGTGAAAGACCTGAATGTTCCACCAGCAGCCAGGAGGGGGTGCACCAAGCCAGGGAGATGGGGCAGAAGAGCAATGGATGTGGGAGGGTCAGCAGCTGTAAAAGTGGAATGTGTGTCCCTACTGTGACCCTGCTGTGATTCAACCCACCTCTCCCAGGCCTGAGATGTGGTTACTTCTGGGGTAGTAGGGGCCTCTCCCTTCTGGTCACCTCTGGCTCGGCCCAGCTCAACCCCACTGGTCTCAGGAGCATGTGCGATTCTGCCCTTAACCATGATGGGCAGAGGGAAGGTTGCAAAGGTGCAGGAATGTGGGGATTCCGATTGGCATGCCTCTCCTGGCTCTGGGGAAGTTTCCCATATGGGGTCTGGGGAGCCCAGGGTGAGCTCAGGATGGAACAAAATGAGCAAATAAATCAGGGCATCGGGGCAAGGGAAAGGCAGGAAGGGGACCGTGAAAGGCTTGGCATTTACCCAGCTGTAACATTGGGTACTATGACCCCTGAAGGGATTGTCTCTCCTTCTCTGCGCGCAAAGCAAACTCTGCTTAGACGTGCAACCCTCAAACCTAGATAGTGCCCTCATCTGCCTCCTACTCACAACTGGAGCCACTTCGTCTGCAGTCCCTAGGCTGACAATCCTTTCTCCACACTCCTCAGCCCTTGACCCTCCTTTCTTCCATTTATTTTTATTTTAATAAAGATTTTATTTACTTATTTTTAGAGAGAGGAGAAGGGAGAAAGAGTAGGAGAGAAACATCCATATGTGAGAGATACATCAATTAGTTGGCTGCCTCCTGCACGTCCCCAACTGGGCACCTGGCCTGCAACCCAGGCATGTGCCCTGACTGGTGCTCAGTCCACTGAGCCACACCAGCCAGGGCTCAGTTCCTCCATGTAACACCCTCCCTCCTGTGACTGTGCTCCTACTGCCTCCTCTGACCCACTTGGACCACCTCTTTTAGGAAGAACCGTAGCAGACTGGATGTATTGCATGCATTTGAGACTGAAAGGAACTTCAAGTAGATTTCCCACCCCCTTCTCATGGAAGAAACCAGCAGGTCAGGTGCCCTGGGGTGGGGAGTGTTTGCATTCTTGCCCTCCCCATCTCTCTGCTGCCCCCTATCTTTCAGGTTCTGGCTCACTTCTGTTCTGCCCACCCACGACTCAGCCTTTTATTCTCCACTCTGGGGTCAGATGGAGTGGGGGGAGATGGAGGATTCTGAGCAGCTTTAAATCACATCCCTGATTTGGCAGATTCCTTCTTTTCCACTTCTAGTCCCCACCACTGGGACCCGCGGCACTGCCCTCTGACCCTCGCGTAGTCTGAAAGAGCTCTGGATCCGGGCATCTTCTGTTCTAGGCCCCATGTGCAGGTGCTTTGGACACCCCAATATTAAAAAGAGAGAAGGAGGTATTTCTCAATGTGTGTGCAGCATTTGGGAGTCTGGGCTTCCGTTCTCTCTTTCTCCAAGTGGAAGCTGAGACTATCTGGGGCCCTTCTCCAACGTGGGGGAAGCGCGGAAGGAGCTGGGTTGCTGTGACATATGGCATGACCGCAAACCCTTCCATCTCCCCTCTGTTTTCCCCTCCAGTGAAAGTAATAGAGGGGGCAAAAAGGTTGAGAGCTCCGACGCCGCCCAGCTTCAGCTGCACCCCAGCCTCCTAGCTTCCTCCCCGTACTTGTCCCGTTACCCCTCTGACCTGCTCCCCAGGCTTGAGGGAAGAAGCGTCAATGGCAGGCCCCAGAGGCTCATAGAGCTGCCCGCGCCCACCTCTCCACGACCCTGCCTGCAGAGAAGCGGGCCTCACGTGGGCGGGGCGGGGGCGGGGCGCAGACTCACCCGTGGGCGCGCGCGCTGGGCGGCAGCGGCCGCGGCCCAGCAGCAGCGCCCGCAGAGGAGCCTCTTCTTCCTCCGGCGGCTGGCACTGCAGTCCTGGGGCGCAGTTAGGGGTGTAGACCCCGCACTGCTGCCCCTCCCTCCTCAGGCAGCCCCCCGCTTCCGCACAACCCTCTGCCGGCAGCCCCGCATCCTCTTCAGCGCAGCCCCCAGGACAACCCGCCTGCACCCCCTGCCCGCAGCCTGGGCACCGCGCCAAGGCACCTCCTGGGCGGGCAGCAAGCAGAGTTAGTAGCAGTAGTGGCGGCAGCAGCCTGCGAGGGGTCATGGTCAGGATTTTTAGCGGGTCCACTCCTCTCAGAGCAGTCGCGGCACAGCTGCTGCCTGCCGCCGCCCCTCTGCCTTAAATAGCCGCGGGTCAGGGACCCGGCCCTTTAAGAGCCAGGTGAAGGGGGGGTAGGAGGCAGAGGCATTCCCTAAACTGGGTGGGACTGGAGAGGCCCCCCCCACCTGCCCTCCCCACTCTTCTCCCCACCCCCCTTCCCAGTTTCTGTTTCCTTCCCAAATTACTCTGATTTTTCTTGCATTGTTCCCGGGAATCTCGCCCGGAATTTGGGAGAAGGACAGTTGGCTCCAGAGACTGGAGGACGGGGAGGGGTGAAAGGAGGAGAGGAAGGCAGTTTGGGAGGAAGGAAAACCCTGAATCCAGTTAGTGTGCAGGTGTGAAGCATACAGGGGAGGAGGGGACGCCCAGGGGGGTGAGAAGATAGCAGTCTAAAGGTGGGCGGAGAAAAGGTGATGTGTGGGGGTCAGGAGAGGGATGGGGGTGAATGAAGAGAGAAAAGAGCCGAGATGGTGGACAATGGGGTGTTGGGAACATTGGCTGATGGGAGAAAATAGACCGAGGGCAAGGAGAGAAAGAGAAACACTGGAATACGAGTGTGGGAGAAGTGGGCACCAGGGGTCCACAGTGGGCTACAGTGATAGAAGGGCTGTGGGGCAAGGATGAGGTGGGGGCACAGCTTGAATGAACTGTTAGAAACCCCAGGATCGTAGTGGGGCCATGGGAGTCTGGAAGTATGGCAGAGGGGCAAGTGTGCAAAGGTGGGAACTGGCCGGACACCTGGGAGGTGGGTGGAAGGGGACTGGCCATTCGAAATTACGTGGTGGGGGTGGGGAGCAAAAGTTATAGGAACCCACACCGTGGGTGCTCTTGGGAACAGCGGCCAGAGAGCAGGACAGCCTGCCACCACCATCCGCCACCTCATTCAGGCCAGCCTGCCCTCCATTCTTCACCTTTCCCACAGCCTGCCCCTCACTCCATTCCCACCCAGTGCAGTATCAACCAGTGGGTTATTGGGGTTCACCAGGCTGTCCTGTGCCCAGGGGTGTCCGGCTGACCGGTCTGGGTGTTTCTGCCTGCCTGTTCCAGGACCTTCACTACACAGGTCTGTCTGCCCACCCACCATAGCCCTTACCCAGGCCCCGCCCACCCCAGCCCTCCTAGCCCAGCCTTCCTTCCTAGAGGGAGGAAGACGAACTCTTTTCTTCAGCAACCCACACCCTCCTGGCTCTGAGTTTCGCAACAACCATCTCATTCTTTCCTAAAACAAGGGCTCTGGGCAGTGACTAAGTTTAAATTCTGGGCCTCCGAGCAAGAATGTCAGGGCTCCCTGAACTTTTAGGTAAATACAAAATAAAAGAACCTCATTCCCAGCACCACCCTCCACGCCTACCCTGGGACTCCAACACCACATGTGGGGAGTAGGGTCTTCCAGCAGCCCTGAGACGCCAGTGCAGATTGGATGGGTAGGGAGGACAGTGGTTGTGGGGGTAGGAGAGGCAGCTCTCCTCCACTCTGCGGAGGCTCTGTGACCTCCTGCCCCAAACTCTGACCCCAGGGTGCAGAGCTCTGTCTTGTCCCCAAACCCTATCACTTTATTTTGCCCTGCACACCATTCTGGCAAGGGCTTTTCCCTCGGGCTCCAGATCCTTGCTCCTGAATAAGACAGAAAGGCATGTCGGAAGTTGGGATCTGGATGAGATGGCTGTGCTCCCTGCAGGATCCCAGTGCAGCTTTTAAAATATTTTTGTGCTCCTCCTTTATGGGTTATATTGCAGAAAAACTCCTCAATATTCTGCTAGCCTCTCATATCCACCATTCTCTTCTCATTACTCCTTTCTCAACCTCTCCCCTCCCCCTCCCACACTGCTGCCACCATCACCACCCCTACAGATTTCCCGTTTAATGCTCCCTCCTGCCCACATTGGTCTAAACTGGGTTGCACAATCCAGTAGCACCCTGCCCCCCAGCGCTGCACTTCCTCTCTCCCCATCCCTCTAGCAGGGAAGTCCAGAGCTGCATGCTGTCAGTGCTGACGTCTAACCAGGCTCTTTCTTGCAGACTGAGACTCATGAATTTTGTTTCTCTTCCCTTTGAGATGCCCTCCACCTTGGCATCCAGAGCAGGGATCTGGAGCACCTAGTGGGTACTCAAGATGGAGTGTGGGCCAAGGTGCAAATCCCTTGGAATCAGTCTGGCCTCTGTGTGAGAGTTTGATGAAAGCTTCTGCTGGGGCTGTGAAGAGGCTAGGCAGCTTGGGTTGCTGTAACAGTGAAAAATTGTAATGGTGGGAAATTGTAACCCACCCCACCATTCTTTTCACACTGTTTCTGTAAGCGCTGACTCTCACTAATATGTAGCTTATAAACAGCATGTTTGTATAAGAATCCTAGGAAATAACTTCAAAAAATACAGACCCAGACCTTCAGGCATCCCAGCTCTGCGAGATTCGCTGACCTTCAACTATGGATCCAGGATGATGTGAAACCAGGATGACTAAACCAGGATGATGCACACCTGACCATCGCCTGTCTTATTGGAATGGACTGTGCTCGCCTGCATGTAGGGAACTTTTCAACCCCCTTCCTGGTCTCTTTGTTCTGTTTCCCTTTCCCTCCTTAAAAAAAACCTCCGCCTCCACTGAGAGGTGGAGATGGGTTTTGTGACACGAGTCTCCCATCTTCCTAGGAGCTGGGCTTCGAGATGTGAGTCCCCATCTTCCAGGTGGCCGGCACCTGACAACAAACCACTTTCCTTTACATCGGCACCTGCCTCTCAATTATTGGCTTTTGTAGAGGCAGGCGGCCGGACCTGCTTTCAGTTACACTGCTACTCAGGCTTTTCCATAAATAAACTCTGCCTGGACTTCCTCCTCTTCTTGAATGTTATATTCTGTTCTCCTCATTCCTTATGCTCTGCATCTCTCACATCCAGCCCCTCCCTCCAAATCCATAGCAGCGCCAGGTGCTGATTTCCTTTTAAGAACAAGGATGTAAAGAAGGGGGCCTGCCTGCCTGGACCCTTTTGATCTTGAGTTTAAAGAAAGACAAGTGATGGCATGGTCCATAGACAAAAAGAAACAAACAAACAAAACCCCAGAGAGGAACATGGGTGACCACATCATGACATGGACTAAGTTTGGTGTGGGCCTGATGGGAACTGCTGTGATAACCTCAGCCAGTCTCCAGCCTCCATTTCCACCATCTAGCCCATGTATAGCCTCCCAGCTGGTCCTGCTGAGGTGCAGTCCTGCTTGTGTGACTCTTTCTTCCTTAAAGTCCTTCGGTGGTACTGCATGTCCCCCAGCTCCCCACCTGTCCCACAGAGCCCATGCTTCTGTCTGGCACTCATGGCCCTGTGGACGATGACCCTGTAAGCACACCGACTTCAAAGACCTGACTGGATCACCTTCCCCAGAAGCCCTGGCAGTTTCCCATCTCTGGGTCTGAACGGAAAGGGAAGTGAAGGTGGAGCATTATTACTGCTCAGAGGTAATTTCTTCCCTCGACTCCAAGCTTTCAAGCTCACATTAATTAAATCCTTCCAACACTCTGGAATTCTAGTCTCTTCCCCCACCTGCTTGGCCAGCTGTCGGCCTTCCGCTGAATTCATCCACATTATTTTGTTGCTATCGCCATTTTATGTTTTTGTGTGTCTTATTTTTCCGGTTAGAATGTGAGTGCTTTGAGATCAGGAACCCCACACCTTCTTCACGTCTGGGCCCTCAGCTTCCAATCCCCATGCTTGGAATTGATATAAGTAAAGGTTAGTGTTTTGGGTGGGAGCAGAGGCTGTCTTGGGGAAGGGCATAGAGTCGAAGGGAGAGCATTTAAACTCTTCAAGGTTCATCAGTGTTCTGTATTTCGGAGGAGCTCAGACCGCCCTAGGGGGGCTTTTGGCCCTTTCACTCCTTCAGCCTCTCCTACCTTTTGTTTCTTCCTCCTGCTCTCAGAGTCTACAGGCCCATAGTATGTTCAGGGAACCGGGAAACCAGGCCCTAGGATAAGTCAAAGAGGGATTCCTGGAGGACAGGCTTTTACAATAGAATTTGGGAGAAGAGATAAATATGGTTGAAGAGAGGGGAAGGTGGATGGAGTCTCGGTGGGAAAGCACATCTTTGTGTAACATACGAAGGTAAAGGGCCAGGGGAACAAGGTAGTGTGTATGTGTGTGTGTGGGCAGGATGTATATTTTGCCTAAATTCCCAGTGGTTTCCTGGGGATGGGAAGTGTCCTGGGAACAGGAAGGAGGGATTATAGAGGAGCACTAGTACACTTCTGGGAGTAATGGTATCTATCTTGATTGTGGTGACATTTTCATGGATATACACAAAACTTATCAAATTGTATGCTTTAAATATGTATGGCTTATTGTGTGTCAATTATACCTCAATAAAGATGTTTAATCAAATATATTTCCTTATCAAGCACAAATTATCAATAGGTTCTGAGAATGCCAACAGACTATGGATTCACCAAAAAGGCCAGCCCCACACTTGGAACCTGAAGATGAGGAAATCCTGAGTAGAATCGCCGACCGTCAACACTTCAAAAATACCACCTTCTAAAAAAAAAAAAGAAAAAAAATAAATACCACCTTCTGCCATCTCTATATCAGACCTTAGCCAGATGGATAGTTTCTGGAGGAATCCAAAACCCAGTGTGGCACAGACACAACTCTGGGAGCTGCCCTGGCTGGTCACTCTCTAGCTGCCTTTGGGAAGAGCTGAGTTGACACTTGGAGTCTTTTCATGGTTCAGGAAGAGGAGGTAGAAGAGAAGAAATGAAGGAGACAGGAGCTGGAGGTGAGTTGGGGAGAGTAACTCTCCAGAACCATGTAATCGGGCTGGAAGGGAGCTAAGCGAACACATGCTTCAATAATCCTTTTTTGATAAGAACAAGATCTTGAACTTTCAGTCACAGAATTGGGGCTCTAGCCTATGTTTCTCAATTTCCCATTTACACCTATCTCCATCACCTACTTCCAGTATGCCAAGTGGTCACTGTTTATGATATAAGAGATGATGGCTTTCATTTCATTCAACATTTGTGGAGCACCTATTTATGGAAAGAATAAGATAAAT